TATCAGTTTGTATATCTAATCTCTGTTACTCTGTTAAGGAAATGAAGTTACTCCATGGACAAAACTAATTAGATAGTATAATCTATCTTGCTACATTTATGTAATACGGATACATTCATCCACGGGTTTAAATATCAGCCTCTCATGGATAAGTACCATACATCACCATATCCAGACAAAAATATCTCACTGTCTTGAGGAATGCAAATGATGCACTGTAAAACGCAGTACAGACTTCTCCAAAAAGGATGGGGGGGAGGAGAGAAGAGGAGTGAACACGACGTGCATTAAAAAAGTGCTCCCAAAGGTCACATAGTGGCTGGAAGTTGTGCTCAGCTGCACATAGTGGCAAATTGCGTCTATCGTTTGTTTCACCTTTCTATATATAGAGATAGCCATCAAAATGGCCCCACACATGCTCAGTTCCTTAACAGATGCCATCCTGTGGACAAAGAACTGCACATGCTCAGTATCTCAACAGACACCATCTTGTAGACAAAAAATAACACCACAGCAGCACAACAGTGTGTGTATATACATACATTATATATATATATATATATATATATATATATATATATATATATATATATACACACACACACACAGTATATGTGCTGTAAGCCACTCTAAACCTATCCACCAACTCTAGTTCTTAGCTAACCAAAATCTTAGTAATGTTACATGCCTTTCACCCAAATAGGGATGAATTTCAAATCTCTTTAATAAAATATCTTATAAACCAAATATCCTCCCCTCAATAGATATTAAGCCAATGGCTACATCTTTTCTGTTTTTACTCTGTTACTCCTTTTCAGTAACTTTCTATACTTCCATCTCTCCATATAACCTGCTAATATGTGCTGTTTATATTCCCAGGACTGAGGTTTCTGTAAGATAAATAAAACAGTCTTAATTCAGTTTTCAGGTATCCCCCTTATGTGTCTCCTCTATAAACTACTACCTCTTACCTCCACACTATCAAACTGGAAATGATGTATGGGATAGTATGTATGGAATAACCTTATGTTACATGCCTGGTGACGTTACCATGCTGCCATAAGGTGGCGAGTTTGGGATGCTGCAGATCACAGTGACAGCGCCATTTTGTGCTTTTTATATGGAGACCTATGCTTGGTTCTAATACTACACAGGTCATTCACAAAGGGTTAATATTTAATGAGACAATTATTTCCTCTGGTATAAAAGGGAAAGCCTTGGTGGTAGCATTTTATGACATGGAGGAAGATGTGAAGTATTATTGTGGAGCTGTACGCTGTAAAACTGAGTGCTTCTAACAGATGTGGTTTTGTGAGTACATACCAGGGCCAGATCAAGCCTGTCTGATTTAGGGGTGCAGTAAAAATGTCAGGGGGGGGGGGGGGCAGAGGATGCAAGGTCAGTATGGCAGTGTATGGGGGGTTGGCAGTTTGTAGGGCAGTGTACAGGGGTTAGCACGGCAGAGGACAGGGGTCAACAGGACAGAAGATAGGGGTTAGCAGTGCAGAGGACAGGGGTTAGCAGGGCAGGGTACAGGAGTCAGCATGGTAGAAGACAGTGGTCAGCAGAGTTGAGAACATGGTCACTGTTGGCAGGGCAAGAGATCTCCTCCTCCCCACACAGCACATACAGTTGCAATAAAAAGTATGTGAACCCCTTGGGATTCCGTTTTTGGAGTTTTGCATGAATTGGACATAAAATGTGCTCTGAACGTCATCTAAGTCACAACAATAGAAGAACACAGTCTGCTGAACATAATACTACACAAACATTAGATGTTGCCATGGTTTAATTGCACATAACATGTAAATGTTTGGTTGAGGTTATTGCTGCCAAAGGAGGGTCAGCCAGTTATTAAGTCCAAAGGTTCACATACTTTTTCCTCCCTGCACTGTGAATGTTTATATGTTATGTGCAATTAAACCATGGCAACATCTAATGTTTTTGTAGCATTATGTTCAGCAGACTGTGTTCTTCTATTGTTGTGACTTAGATGACGTTCAGAGCACATTTTATGCCCAATTCATGCAAAACTCCACGTAATCCCAAAGGGTTCACATACTTTTTCTTGCAACTGTAGCTGAGATCAGTATATCTCCACACAGTGTGTAGCTGGCTACTGCAGCTGCCAATCCAATCAGAGAATTTCACAGCTCAGAATGGCAATTGCAGCTAGCTACACATTGCGCAGATCGATGCTGTGAGGAATCTGATCTCAGCTACAGTTAGGTCCATATATATTTGGACACAGGCACAATTTTAGTTTTTTTCAGGTATTTGCCAAAACATATTTAAGCTACAGTTATATAATGGATATGGTCTGAAAGTGCACACTCTCAGGTTTAATTTGAGGGCATGTATATCCAAATTAGAGGAAGGGTTTAGGAATTACAGCTCTTAAGAGTAGCCACCCCCCCTTTCTCAAGGGACCAAAAGTAATTGGACAATTTAATATAATCATAAATAAAATGTTCATTTGTAATATTTTGTTGAGAATCCTTTACTGGCAATGACTGCCTGAAGTATGGAACCCATGGACATTACCAGAGACTGGGTTTCCTCCTTTCTGATGCTTTGCCAGGCTCTAACTGCAGCTGTCTTCAGTTGTTCTTTGTGGGTCTTTCTTCCTTTAGTTTTGCCTTCAGTAAGTGAAATGCATGCTCAATTGGGTTGAGATCAGTTGATTGACTCGGCCATTGCAGAATATTCCACCTTTTTTCCTTCAAACGCTCCTGGGTTGCTTTTGCAGTGTGTTTTAGATCATTGTCCATCTGTACTGTGAAGTGCCATCCAATCAACTTTGCTGCATTTGGCTGAATCTGGGCTGACAGTATATCTCTAAACACTGCAGAATTCATCCGGCTGCTTCTGTCTTTTGTCACATCATCAATAAACACCAATGACCCAGTGCCACTGGAAGCAATGCATGCCCATGCCATCACACTGCTTCCACAATATTTTACAGATGACATTGTGTGCTTTGGATCATGAGCTGTTCTAAGACTTCTCCACACTTTTTTCTTCCTATCATTCTGGTACAGATTAATCTTAGTTTCATCTGTCCGAAGAATGCTTTTCCAGAACTGGTCTGGATTTTTTAGATTTTTTTGGCAAAGTCTAATCTGGCTTTTCTATTCTTCAGGCTTATGAATGGTTTGCACCTGTGGTGAACCCTCTGTATTTGCTCTCATGAAGTCTTCTCTTGATTGTAGACTTTGACGCCCACCTCCTGGAGAGTGTCCTTCACTTGTCTGGATGTTGTGAATGGGTTTTCTTTACCATAGAGGGGATCCTGCGATCATCCACCACTGTTGTCTCCTATGGACGTCCATGCCTTTTTATGTTACTGAGCTCACCAGTGAGTTCTTCTTTCCTCAGAATGTAGCAAACTGTTGATTTGGCCACTCCTAATGTTGCTGCTATCTCTCTGATGGATTTGTTTAGTTTTTGAAGCCTTGCAATGGCCTGTTTCACTTGCATGGACAGCTCCTTTGAATGCATGATGTAGGTTTCACAGCAACAGATTCCAAATGTAAATACCACACTTAGAATCAACTCCAGACCTTTTACCTGCTTAATTGATAAAGAAATAACGAAGGAGCCTACACCTGGCCATGAAACAGCTTTTGATTCAATTGTCCAATTAATTTTGGTCCCTTGAAAAAGGAGGATGGCTATTCTGAAGAACTGTAATTCCTAAAACCTTCTTCCAATTTGGATGTATATACCCTTAAATTAAACCTGAGAGTGTGCACATTCAGCCCATATCCATGATATAATTGTAGCTTGAATCTGTTTTAGTAAATACCTGAAAATAAACTAAAATTGTGCATGTGTCCAAATATATATGGACCTAACTGTATGTGTTATGTGGGGAGGAAAAGATCTGTTGAGTGCCTTGTGGGCAGTGCTGAGACAAGGTCATCTAGCATTCAAGGTGAAGGTGACAAACAGCACTAATCAACACACTCACCCCCAAGCATAAATCCCTTCTGCAAGCCCAAATTCTACCCAAACAGAAATGCAACAATTCCCCATCCTCACAGTCCAAACCCCCCTGTCAGGGATGCGGGTGTGACCAGAGATGTGTGTACTGAAACAGTGAAACACAGGCTCCAGATATGGTATAAACAAGACAATTTATTAATACTAACAATACAAACATAAACGCAGTGCACCAAACCCCAAGCTAACACAAATACATACAACAAGGTGAAACAAACCCAAACCTAAACTGATACAGATACACAGGTACATCCACATATAGAGCACAACGTAGTCAGGCAGGCCGGGTGGATAACTGTCGGGCAGGTAGGTACAGGAGGAGCAGGCGGAGAGAATGGTCAGGGTCACAAGCCAGGGATCAAAACAGGAGAAGTCAGCAGAGGTCAGGATCAGGCAGGGTCAGCAACAAGTCAGGCAGGAACAGGAACAGGAATGCAGGTTACAAGGTACAGGGGCCCATGAAAAAAAACACACACCAAGGCACAGACTGCAGATCTGGCCATCCCTTAAATACACCTGCAATCAGCCCCAGGTGATGGCTAATTGCCGAAGTGAACCTCTGGTTGTTGAGAGCACCCGCTGGCCAGCCCTGGTACTGCAGCCCACAAGGCAGGTGAGTCCCACCACTATTGGCAAGTCCATTCCTGACAGTACCCCCCGCTCAAGGAGTGGCCTCAGGACGCTCCAAACAGTCCTAGCTGGGCAAAATGTTCCACCGGACGGAGGCACTTCGAGCTGGGCACCGGACGGAGGCACTTCGAGCTGGGCACCGGACGGAGGCACATCGGGCTGGATGCCGGATCACCAGGCGGAGTAGCGGGCAGCGGGCCACCAGGCGGAGCAGCGGGCACCGGGCCACCAGGCAGGGCGGCAGGAACCGGGCCCCCAGGCGGAGCGGCAGGCACCGGGCCCCCAGGCAGGGCAGCGGGCACCGGGCCACCAGGCAGGGCAGCGGGCACCGGCCCACCAGGCAGGGCAGCGGGCACCGGCCCACCAGGCAGGGCAGCAGGCAGCGGGCCACCAGGCGGAGCAGCAGGCACCAGGCCCCCAGGCAGGGCGGCCGGCACCGGGCCACCAGGCGGAGCAGCGAGCACCGGGCCACCAGGCGGAGCAGCGAGCACCGGGCCACCAGGCGGAGCAGCGAGCACCGGGCCACCAGGCGGAGCAGCGAGCACCGGGCCCCCAGGCAGGGCGGCGGACACCGGGCCACCAGAAGGAGCAGCAGGCACCGGGCCCCCAGGCGGAGCGGCGGGCACCGGGCAACCAGGCAGGGCGGCAGGCACCGGGCCATCTGGCTCGACAGCGGGCATCGGGTCATCAGACATTGGATCGTCTTGCTCGACTGCGGGCACCAGGTCATCTGGCTCAACAGTGGGCCTCGGGTCACCAGGCACGACAGCGGGCATCGGATCACCAGGCATCAGGTCATCTGGCTCGACAGCGGGCACCGAGTCATCTGGCAAGGCAGTGGGCACCGAGTCACCAGGCGTGATAGCTGGCTCTGAGTCAACTGGCATGACAGCGGGCATCGGGTCACCAGGTATAACAGCGGGCACTGGGTCATCAGGCATTGGATCGTCTGGCAAGACTGCGGGCACCGAGTCATCTGGCAAGACCACGGGCACCAAGTCATCTGGCAAGACCGCGGGCTCCGAGTCATCTGGCAAGACCGCGGGCCCCAAGTCATCTGGCCCGACAGCGGGCACCGAGCCGTCTGGCAAGACTGCGGGCACCGAGCCGTCTGGCAAGACTGCGGGCACCGAGTCGTCTGGCAAGACTGCGGGCACCGAGTCGTCTGGCAAGACTGCGGGCACCGAGTCGTCTGGCAAGACTGCGGGCACCGAGTCAACTGGCGGAACAGCGGGCATCGAGTCGTCTGGCAAGACCGCGGGCCCCGAGTCATCTGGCCCGACAGCGGGCACCGAGTCGTCTGGCAAGACTGCGGGCACCGAGTCGTCTGGCAAGACTGCGGGCACCGAGTCATCTGACAAGACTGCGGGCACCGAGTCGTCTGGCAAGACTGCGGGCACCGAGTCAACTGGCGGAACAGCGGGCATCGAGTCATCTGGCAAGACTGCGGGCACCGAGTCATCTGGCAAGACTGCGGGCACCGAGTCGTCTGGCAAGACTGCGGGCACTGAGTTGTCTGGCAAGACTGTGGGCACCAAGTCAACTGGCGGAACAGCGGGCATCGAGTCGTCTGGCAAGACCGCGGGCCCCGAGTCATCTGGCCCGACAGCGGGCACCGAGTCGTCTGGCAAGACTGCGGGCACCGAGTCGTCTGGCAAGACTGCGGGCACCGAGAGTCGTCTGGCAAGACTGCGGGCACCGATCGTCGTTGTCTGGCAAGACTGCGGGACTGCGGGCACCGAGTCATCTGGCAAGACTGCGGGCACCGAGTCACTGGCAAGACTGCGGGCCGAGTCAACTGGCGGAACAGCGGGCATCGAGTTGTCTGGCAAGACTGCGGGCACTGAGTCGTCTGGCAAGACTGCGGGCATCGAGTCGTCTGGCAAGACTGCGGGCACCGAGTCGTCTGGCAAGACTGCGGGCATCGAGTCGTCTGGCAAGACTGCGGGCATCGAGTCGTCTGGCAAGACTGCGGGCATCGAGTCGTCTGGCAAGACTGCGGGCATCGAGTCGTCTGGCAAGACTGCGGGCATCGAGTCGTCTGGCAAGACTGCGGGCATCGAGTCGTCTGGCAAGACTGCGGGCTCCGAGTCAACTGGCGGAACAGTGGGCATCGAGTCAACTGGCGGAACAGTGGGCATCGAGTCGTCTGGCAGGACTGCGGGCACCGAGTCGTCTGGCAAGACTGCGGGCACCGAGTCGTCTGGCAAGACTGCAGGCACCGAGTCGTCTGGCAAGACTGCGGGCACCGAGTCAACTGGCGGAACAGCGGGCATCGAGTCGTCTGGCATAATAGGATCATCAGGCTGGATCAGTTCATCAGGCTGGGTAGAAACATCATGCTGGGTAGAGACATCAGGCTGAATGGAGACATCAGGCTGAATAGAGACATCAGGCTGGGTAGAGGCATCAGGCTGGGTAAAGACATCAGGCTGAATTGTGGGCGCCGAGGCACCAGGCTGCACCACGGAAGGCAGGTTCTCAGATGGGAGGCTGACCGGTTTGGATACTGGCAGGATCCTATTGGTTGGAAAGAACTTTCGCCTTTTTCTGGTTTTAGTTACCGGAGCACTGTAAGTAAGCGCAGGTTTGTAAACGGATGGAGCAGCTGGAGACAGAGAAGAGCTGGAGGATGGAACAGAGGAGGGAGCAGTTGCTACAGAGGACTTCTTTACAGGGTTGAAGAAAGGAAGGTGCAGCGAGTGGGAGCAGGGGACTGGTATGTGGTAGTTAGCAGAGTATACTGGGCCATCACTGGGGGTGCTGTCGGGGATGCAGGAAGAGTGCCTTGAGCAGAGAAATGATGTTGCAAGCCAACTGAGGCTGGGTGTAACAAATCTGTCCATGTCTGCAGTACTGGTTTAACAAAACTCAGCTTACACCTAGCCTGTCTGATCAAAGACTGCACTGCGTTTATGCAATCCATAAGCACATGTGATGGACATGCTGCATAGTGCTCATGGAAACAATCTGGATCATCCTCCAACAACCATACCAGTGATTCCACTTGATCCACACTAAATGGGGAAAAAAGTCATCCCTGCTTTCAGGGGTACAGGACCGAGCCAACTCAGCACAAACCTGGATCAATGGCTGCACCTCAGAAAACTCTGTGCCCTGATCAACTAGACAATGAGCGATCCTTATACACAGTTGATCCCTTAGTCTAGCAGTTGATCCCGGGTATACTCCTTAAGAGTCTGATAGGCATAGTCTTTGTCATCAATCACTAGCAGAGATAAATACACCACCTCATCAAGATCCATCCTTCCCAGCAACAATAAGCCAAGATGGCCTCCCTGTGCAGCCACTTCTGGTCAGGTTTGTGGCCCTGGTGTAATGTCAGGGATGCGGGTGTGACCACTGATGTGTGTACTGACACAGGGAAACAGAGGCTCAGATATGGTATAAACAAGACAATTTATATTAATACTAACAATACAAACAAACGCAGTGCACCAAACCCCAAGCTAACACAAATACATACAACAAGGTGAAACAAACCTAAACTGATACAGATACACAGGTACATACACATATAGAGCACAATGTAGTCAGGCAGGCCGGGTGGATAACTATCGGGCAGGTAGGTACAGGAGGAGCAGGCGGAGAGAATGGTCAGGGTCACAAGCCAGGGATCAAAACAGGAGAAGTCAGCAGAGGTCAGGATCAGGCAGGGTCAGCAACAAGTCAGGCAGGAACAGAACAGGAATGCAGGTTACAAGGTACAGGGGCCCATGGAAAAACACACACCAAGGCACAGACTGCAGGTCTGGCCATCCCTTAAATACACCTGCAATCAGCCCCAGGTGATGGCTAATTGCCGAAGTGAACCTCTGGTTGTTGAGAGCACCCGCTGGCCAGCCCTGGTACTGCAGCCCACAAGGCAGGTGAGTCCCACCACTATTGGCAAGTCCATTCCTGACACCCCCCCTTCCAGCACAAATCTTTGCCCCCCAATCCACCTTCCAGCACAAATCCCCCCAATCCTTGTCACATCTTCCATGCCCCAAAAATCACCCCTCCTAGCACACATCCTCTTTCCTTCCAAATCCCCCTCCTAGCACAACCCTCTCCCCAAAATTGGTCCCCTAAGTACAAACCCTCTCCCCCAAATCCCCATTTCTAGTACAAACCCTCTCCCCCAAATCCCCACTCCTAGTACAAATTATCTCCCCAATCCCCCCCATGAACAAATCCCCACTCCTAGCGTAAATCCTTTACCAAATTCCCCCTTCTAGTACAAATCCCCCCTCCTAACACAAATCCTCTCCCCATATCCCCACTCCTAATACAAATTATCTCCTAGAATCACCCCTCCTAGTACAAATTCCCCCCATTTCTAGCAGAAACCCTCTCCCCCAAATCCCCACTCCTAGCGTAAATCTTCTCCTCAAATCTCCCCTCCTAGTACAAATACTGCCCCATAAAACCCCCGTCAGCACAAATCCTACCCCCAGTACAAATCCCCCCCAAATCCCGGTGTCTAGTACAAATTCTCCCCTCCAAATCCCCCCTCCTAGTACAAATCCCCCCCCCCCCCAACTGCTTACAAATTACCCTTCGCAGCACAAATCCCCGCACACCCAAATCACCCTAGTAGCACATATCACCCCCAATTCCCCCACCTAACACTAATCCCCCCAATTCCCCCCTCCTAGCACAAATCCACCCCCCACCATAATCCCCCTCCTAGCACAAACCCCCCCCCCCCCCAAATCCCCCCTCCTAGCACAAATCTTCAATCCTGCCTCCAAACACATCCCCACCCCAAATTACCCTTCCCAGCACAAACAGCCCCCCACCCCTCCTCCACGAGCTCCCCCTCCCCCAATCTTACATGAGGGAACAACAGGAGTAGTGAGGAGATGCGGTCTCTCTGTAATCTCCCCTCATACCAGCGATCCTCCATACAGTAGGTTACATAGGATCGCTATTACATCTGACGGTACACGGCTTCATTACTTGTCCCATCTCCTCCAAAGACTAGTCAACTCTTGGAAATGTGGATGGGGGGCGGAGAATGAAGCCGTGTACCGTCAGATGTAATAGCGATCCTATGTAACCTGCTGTATGAAGGATCACTGGTATGACAGGAGGGAAGATCACAGAGAGCCCGCATCTCCTCCCTGCTCTCTCATCTCTGCCGCTCTTGTCTAGACTGATCACTTTAGATGCGGCCGACCGTGAGTGCAGGGAGGGGGGAGAAAGCTCAGTGGGCACAGCATAAATCACGTGGGAGGAGGGGGGGTACCCGGTCTGGGGGGACACAACTAGAATCTTGGGGGGCACAGCCCACCCCAGCATCCCCCTAGATCCGGCCATGGTATATACTAAAATACCTTTACTCAAATAGAAAGTTTTTCTTTATTGTCTAATTTTATATTTGGGGACATACAGGGTATTTTGATGTAATCTTAGTTGGTAAAATTCGGACCATTGTATTAGACCTGTCTATCTGAGATAGTATGAATTACATTGTAATGCCCAAACTGTCTCCCCTCAGCCCTATGAAGCTTGATTTTGGAGATGTAATCCATAGATCAAATGCCCCTTATTTTTGAAGCAAGTATTTATGTAATACATGAGATTGGATTTTATTATTACTAACAGTGGTCTGAGTTGGCTTGTGTGATCTTTGTATGCCCATGGAGGGATATGAGATGGAGGTGTGCTCCCTGTCAGAAAAAAGAGGAGACATTTGGGTCTTTTAAAATATGGCTGATGAAACTGCATGTGTGCAGTCTTTATGTAATTGGAAGAGATATTTAACCTTTTACACTTTGTGGTGTTATACCATAAAATAATGTTGATGAGTTTAATATACTTCTCACTTGTTTTCAGGAATAGCATATCCTTA